TTGAACCCAGAGTCCTCTGCCCTTAAAACAAATTGCTACTACAACCCAAGATAGAGTGATGAAGCTGGCTGCACTGCCACTGAAAAGATCTGTGCAAAATATTCTTCTACGAGTTGCAATAATAAATAAATTGCCTAGGGAGGCTGTGGAATATCCATCTCTGGAGATATTTAAGAGTAGGTTAGAAAAATAGTCTATCAGGGATGGTCTAGACAATATTTGGTCCTGCCATGTGGGCAGGGGACTGGACTCGATGACCTCTCGAGGTCCCTTCCAGTCCTAGAATCTATGAATCTATAATAATCCATCATCATCAATGCTAAAAGGCCGGTGTGTTGGAGGAAGGAGATTTTTAAGTGTAGAGGTGGCAAAACGTAGCTTTAATTTTTTTGGTGCGGCAGGGGTTAGTTCATATGACTGTCAATCACACATTGAGAAAGAATTGGGTAAGAAGGGATTGGGCAATCAAGAACCTGCTGGCACCAAGAGTTTGGATTCTAAACAGCATGTGCACTAGTGCTCAGAAAGGAGCTGCCCTTGCTGAAGCAGAAGGAAATTGTTCCTTCCAGCATCCTGAGTCGGATTAGTTTCCCCCTGTCATTATGCTGGTCATTCCTTTATTCTTTCCCCTCATTCTGTTTTTTTACTGTTCTGTTCTCCACTGTACTCCTTCACATTTTCACTTCCAGGCCACTGCTCTGTTGCGTGGATTTACAGAAGAGTAGATTTTTAAAGCCACAGATCAATAGGTACAATAATAATACAAATGCTGTACCAGATTCAGTGGTCAACTCCAGCTACCTTGTGATTCCTCTGGGATGCAAAATAGCTGTAAACCCAGCTAACAGCTCTTTGACCAAGGCCAGCAACTACTTGGGCTTATTGACAATCAGGGATGAATGCAGAGCCTCTATCTTGTACTTCTGGGGCAGTATGAATGGATTTAGCCTCTTGAGGTGTAAGATTGGTGTTCAGTCTCCTGATTTTTTGGCCCTGAAGTGGCTAGAGAAGATTTCACTTCCTCTTTCTCAGGGGAAACTGGGCGATGGCTTTGGTGAACATTAGACGAAAGCCGGAGCCCGCAGACTGCTCGTCGCTCTATGAGCCAGGAAGTGAGAAGGAAGAGAGCCAAGCGAAGAGGGAGGGGGTTTTCTTGGAATGCTATCGAGTGGCTATGATGGAAGCCACCAGCTGCATGGAAACAACCTCCATCCTTCTCAGGCAAAAAGAAATCCTGTCCCACACAAAGGGAAAACTTCCTGTCAAAACCTGTCCTTGAGGAGGCTGCCTAGTGTGGGTGGGTTGGTGGGAAAGCTTGAGATATCGCGAACATCAAACTGATCCTTTCTGGTACTGAGAGCTGTGGAATTTGGAGCAGAATGATCCTGGGGCTTGGAGTGGGAAGTGTCTTTCTAAGGAGGTCTGGCTGGGGTGTCTCTCTGCCTTCCTCCTCTGAAAGAAGGTTAGTCTTGGGGTTCATCATATGAACCAGGCTACTAGTGGAGAGGGCTAGTGAACAGCGCTTAGAGAGGAGATTGTCAGACCAGGGATGAAGCCAGAATAAACACTGTGAAACCCTCTGGCCTGCCATTATCTAAGCCATAACATTCATGGCATGACATATAAACTGGATGCCTAAGGGAATAAGGTTTAAGGACTCAATTCTGAGTCAGTGGAAGCTGGATCAGGCCTTAGCATCTTCCTTCCTTCCTTGCCTAGGGAGTGTATTCTACAAGCCCATATCTTCGGTGAAGTCTTGGATCTACAAACACAATGCTCTAAGTGCACAGATCAGTACTCTTGTATTGCTTTTTGGGTAGAGCTTGGTTTTCTCTCTCAAGGGTCTGGTATCAACAGGACAGGAGGACTCTGTGATGCCCCCTAGTCACTGTGGGGCAGATTGCTAACCAGAGGTGGCTGCCTTCATTTATTCACTTCATCTAATGGAGGGAGAATCAGATACCCTGCAAGCCATTTCAAAGGGAAGCACATACTTACAGGATTGATGTCCAGAAATGTTTCATGATCCTCCTT